AAAAGAAAAAAATCCAACCGTCGTCATCATTGTCGACTCTGCAGTGTACGTGGTGTATACACACTTTACCACGCTCGCGCCTTCAACTCACATAATATTATTCTGCTGAAATAACAAGAAATTCCGATCGAATGACCTGTGCCATACACGGTACACACACACACACATATTTATACACGGTGCAGTAGGGTAATACAATGTGGTATACGCAAGCAAGTCTAATCGAAATCGTAAGATTTCCCGTCAACGTTAAGAATTCCTGAGCTTCCAACACCGCGATACCTACGTGTTATAACATATATATATATATATATATATAATATATAATACGCATTTTATTCGGACTTCGACATTTAATCGATGCTCGAACTCTGGGAGCATCTCGCAGTACTGTCAATTTATCACGGAGGTTTGGGAGAGCCGAAACCGGAAACGGTTAGTTGTTAATGTTGCACGTGAAATCTCATCAACGAAGTCGATTTCGGAAAGTATATATGTATAATACATATGTGGTGTATRCGTTAGCACGCGWCAAAAGCGCAAAATAATCTGCAATAATCTGTCGGTTAGAGAAATCTAGTCATTAAAATTTTTTTTATAAAATTCTTATMTATTTTATCGTAGTTTCATTCAAATACATTGAAKCCCSTWCTGTTTTTAGACATGATTACAATAAATTCTTAAAAGTTTCGATACGATTATTTGTTTCATTTTTGCTATTCATAAGACATTTTAACTAGCACTGTTTACGATGAAATAAAAAACACATATCTATAAGTTTATTAAGTTGTAAAATCTAAAACATTCCTTGCTTCACTCAAACTCTAATCCGATTTTATAGCGAAACGCGACGCAGTTGATAATACAGGCAATACAGCTGGTTGGTACATTGGTAATCGATAAAATAAAATGTAAAGGATCATGAGGCTACACTTTAGGTCTTTTTGTATTTTTCAAAAAACTGTAGGTGAAGCAAATTATTATTATTTTTTTTTCATTAGATAAACATGTAATGATTGATATCATTATGATAACTAATGAAACTTAACATTTTGTAAATTAAGAACATCTTTAAAAAATTGAAAAGAGAAGACATAATATTATATACCTATAGGGTAAAATGAATTACCTAGTTAATATACATATATATAATATGATAGACCTTAATAGGCAACAATATGTACTTATAAAATATACTAGCCTACATCCTACCTACTTGTTAAGAAAATTTGCATATTGCATTTACTRGTAAGTAATTTTTAAATTGTAAATTAAACTATTTCCTAGAAGCTATGAAGTATTTTTGATACCTTTATGATTGTCATAATATYGTATCAAAATTATATACTAAAAGGATAATGCTAATATGTTTAGCAGGAAAGTAGATGATTACGAAAATTAAAGTATAATATTCATTCTTTGAAGTATTTATTTTTGATATTCTGTAGGTGAACACCCTTTGTTTTAAATTGAATTAATAATTAATTCTTAATATGATAATTTAATTATTACTTAGGTACCTCAAATTAATTTAAAACTTTAAAATACCTACTCCCAGTTAACATAATATATTAGTCGCAAGTATTATAGAAAAAATTTTTAAAAAATTGCATAAGCATAATATAACATTAAAACAACATAATACAACTTTATAATCTACACAAGGTAAAATATGAGACGAAAATTAAAAACTAGTTAACTTCTCATGTAGCTCAATAAATATAATTAGTAACTTTATTATTTGTACAAAACAATTAAAAACAACCTTTGAAAAAACAAAGRTAAATTAAATGTATACAAACACTAAAAGATTTGATATAAAATATAATTGAGTTTTAATGTTGATATGTTAATATTTAACATTATAACAGTTTACTCCGCATAACAATTCGCCTTAACTATCCATTTTTAACGATACTATAACGCAACAATTATTTTGTACWGAAAGATAATTCCAATAAAATATTATTTTGTAAAAGATAGACTGTGTAATAATAAAAAAAAAAATACTTACCTAAAACTAAAGAAAACTTTTACGAAAAATGTGACCAATACAAAACTTTTTTTTCAACGTACCTTTTTCTAATTTTTCAACTTATTAATTAAAATACATTTGTTATTAAATCGGCGTATCAGTAGCAGTACGCTCATGGTCAGAATCGATAATTTTAGTCAATTATTTTAGTGTCACCAACTGCGTAATACAATTAATAATTGTTATCGTAAAACGGTAATACTTTTTCCCGCGCGTGAAACACTATGCCCCTACTCCTATAATACTCATTATTTTTCTTAAAATTATTTTTCTTGTTTARTATCAAATTAAAGCTCAAATTATATGTAYATAGGTACTGCAGGGTGTCACATGATCATTTACATGATCTAAATAAAAGTCTTTTATAATTTTGTCTTGTATGTCATCTGAGAAATCCATGTTTACAACTCTGAGCTCTCGTGATTATCACATAAAAAAACCGTATTTCACTTTAAAATCATGATATAACTGATATAAGATATATMAACGTGCTTATATATTGGGATTATTGAATTACATGGTACATACAAAATGCATGAGGGTGTCAAGTACTTATACAAGTTTATTCTTTATAATTAAATTATGATAATGTCGGTACGCATATAAGACAGATAAACGATTAATCACTAGTGATAAATAAATAAATAATTTAGTATGTATATAGTTGAGAAAATGGACGCACTTTTGAATAAAAAAGTTTGTAAAATACGTTAACGTTTATAAGATAATTATGGATAATAAGTCATACAAGTATATAACAATAAATAGTATA